ACAACAAACACATGTCAGTTCATCCCCGACAAAGCCTAAAATCACTTGTCACATGAAGCTCCTCATGATCCAATTTCATTCAAGATCAAGCCTAGACGGCCTTTGAAGAAATCACAAGTCCGATTCAAGATCAAGTGTCCACCACTCTTGAATCAAATTCAGCTCCAGATAAAATAGGTAAATTCAGACCTTTGGAGGAAGTCTAGCAGAAAGGCCCTCCAACCCAGTTCAAGAACAAGTCTGTGGAAAGTTAACAACAAGTGAAACACCTCATTCGGCAACTATCGCCGCTAAAAGACTAAAGCAGCAGGATCAATGATCAGCTTAAATAATTTGAAATCAGGGGGAGATACTCATCAAGGGGGAACATCCAAAAATAGATCAAGATCTTAACGAGGCAATTCATGTTGATATGTGGGCATCCAAGGGGAAGTGTTGAAAAGTCTAGTGGGTATTGAATGCCCACATAGAAACTGCAGACTTTGGGTGGGTTTTCAATGCCCGTGCAGTTAATCTTGACTTGGGAGATAAAGGAAGTTATATTGTCAAAGATGTGTGCTTGGAGTTGCTCTATAAATAGAGCACTCCGTATGCTTTGAACAGATAGCAAAAAAAAAGAAAGAGAGGAAGAGGAGAGGAGAGAATACATAGAGTTATCTTTGTACTCCTATTTATAATAAAAGCATCACTGCTGCCCGAGGACGTACTCCAGTCACACTGACTGTAGAGGAACCTCGTAAATTTTGTGTCTTGTTTTATTTATTCCACTGTACACACATCGTCGATTTTACAACAATTCTTAATTTTTAACCATCGGATTAAATAAATTGAAGAACATTAAAATACGTAAATCAGCATAGTGTGTGAAAGATAAAAATAAAAGTGAAAAATACCATCCTTTCTTGTTTTTATTGTAGAACCACATCTAATTTTTTATTCATTCAGTATTAGTATGTTATATCTTCTCTTGGTAAGAATCGAAATAAACGCTTGTATTCCTATTAAGTAAACATGTTATGGACTCATATTTATATAAAGTCTTTTATTATACATGGTCGTTCAGTGAATAGAATAGAATAATATTGATGGGCAAAGAACCCATTGTATATGAAAACAAAGGTAAAGCCATCTCCAACCGAAGGAGGGCCAAATGACTCCCTTTAGCCCTATAGTTATGCAATAAATTATATTTTAATGAACATCGCTAGGCCATATTTTATACCATCTCCAACCGAGGAGGTCATAGGCCAAACATAACCCTTTAACGGGCCATAGACCAAACATAATTTATTATTTTAATTAAATTAAACTACCATATTAAAATAATGATTTCGAACATATTTAGAGTGTCACTTGTCGCCAAATGAATAAACCTTCAGATTTCTTATCTTTATATAATCTCAATAATTTTTTGGATATAATTTCGAGTGACACGTGTTGCTAACATGAGTAACTCTCAAGATTTCTTATTTTTATGTAATCTCAATAATTTTTCGGATAAGATTTCGAGTGACATATGTTGTTAAAGTGAGTAAGTCTCTAGATTTCTTATCTTTATGTAATCTTAATAATTTTTTGGATAAGATTTCGAGTGTCACGTGTCAAAATGTAATTGGTTGTGCAAATTTTAGATAAAATTCTTATCTACGTAGCACTTCTTATCTTCAGCTATCAATGTTGAAGGAATGGTGTAGGTATTTATAAGAAAAAAAAAATTCTAAATTCGTCCAAAAAAAAAAATCAAATTTCAATGGTAACCTGACAGCAGCATGACGTTAACTAGCTAGAGTCATGCTGATGCCAAGTAGCCGTTGACATTCAATGGGATGAGCTCTAGGGCGGGCAAAATGTCAAGCTTGACATTCTGGTGCCAGCCCATTCTAGAGCTGGATGGCTGGCAAAATGTCAAGTTTGACATTCTGGCGCTGGAGGACGGGCTGGCCTGATTTGGGGGTTTAGGCCCGGTGGGGCCCACAAGCCCTTTGACCTAGCTCTCTGTTGGAGACGGTTTTTGTGTCTTTCTTAGCTACTTTTAGACCTATGACCCCTTGGCCGGATAGGTTGGAGATGACCTAAAAATTAATCCAAGAAACTAGACATGAAAGAAACTTACCCATTATAATTCTTTCCGTGGGTATTACAAATGTTAAGTTTATACATCAGTAAAGCCGTGAGCATAATGAATTATTCAATTCAATCCTATATACCAAACGACGCCCAAATGAGCCCTTACGTCAACCCAAACACACAGCTCCAAACTCACTCTTACCATGTTCACACTGGGGTTTGATTTGATCAGATAGAGACCTAAAAATACATTCACCCCTGCATTGGATTTCTCAAATTATTTCACCTTCATAAATTAAACAAAAAATACTTAACGGACCATGCCAATAAATCGGTATTGCAACACATAACTACTGGCCAACAAATCCAGAAGTAAAATAAGAATGAATGTTCTAAACACAATGATACAGGCTATATAAACTTGAACAAATAAATGTTTAATTCGATTTCTCAATACATCATGGGATCGTGAAACACAACGCAAACTTATTCGGAAGTAAAACTAATAGCTAATTCTATTTCTACCACCTTTGGCACATAAATACTACTACAATCCACCTGGTAGAAGACACCATCAATCACACCATACCTGAATCAGCTGCACCGCACCTTCGAAACAAAACTACAACTTTTAACCAAAACAGTAACGTAGTTCTTGATAAACGGCAGCAACCGAAAACGCCACCAAGCACACCTTCTAGTCAGCTCTTGACTGACCCGATCGGGAAGAGAGAATGATACCAACAATCAGACCATACAGTGCCAGTGCTTCGGCAAAAATGAGAATGAGGATCATTCCAACAAAAAGCTTTGGCTGTTGTGCATTGGCTCTGCATAATACCAAAATGACATTAGAGGAGGAAACTCTCAATCGAAACGCAACAAGATACCAAATATGAGTAACACGGCAGTAAAGACAATTCATGAATGCTCAGGAAAACTGACTGACAAATATAGCTTCTATACAAACACACTTCAAAATCTCCAACTGGTTTTTAGTTGCGATATTCCTTTGATGGCCTTCAACCATGGGAAAGTCAGCACTTAATATGTCCCAAATTCGATAATATAACACCAGGCATATGAAAAAGCAGACTGCTATTACAAAGAACCAGTAAATACAAGCACGGCACGCCACAGAAAACCCGGTTCTTAAACAATCAAATCGATGTTGTATTGCAATTTATACAAGCAGTGACAGGTTAAAATAGCACAATGAGTACAAACATCCTAAACCAGATTGAAGCAATGCAAAATCGAGAAAGAATCCGGAAATACCGAGATAGAACGAGAGATGTTACCTAACACCGGCATCACCGACAATGCCAATAGCCATACCGGCAGAGAGACCGGCAAGGCCGCAAGCTAGACCAGAGGAAAGATGAGCATAGCCATCGAAAAGGTAATAGGACTTAGCCTTGGGGTTGATACCGGTACTGATGATGACGGCGATGATGAGTCCGTAAATACCCAACACTCCCGCCATAACTACCGGCACGATCGACTTCATCACCAGCTCCGGCCTCATCACTCCCATGGACGCCACTCCTACTCCGCTCTTCGCCGTCCCATACGCCGCTCCCATACCTGCAAAACACACAAATTCTGATCAAAATCCCTATATCCGCCCGGACCAAACCCTAGGTGCTTAGATCTGGGCCGAATTGGAACATACAGGAGAAGACGAGGGCCGCGGCGGCGCCGAGGAACCCGAAGAACGGTGCCGTTTCATCGCCACTGAAGGTTGAAGAAGACATTCTCCTCGATTTACGGACAGATATTCTTTGATCGGATCTGGGCTTTGATGGATTTGTTTTCTCCTCTCCTCTCCTCTCCTCTCCGCGAAGATCCCTTTGAGCGTTTACGGGTGTTTCGATCTCAGCCTCAGAAAGTAAGACTCTGTAATTACGCATATACCGCGCTTTAGAGGAGTCATTAGCTGATGAGGTTAGCTTGAGGCCCAATTCATCTCATTGTACACTTTATCAGTAGCCTGAGGCCCAATCTGGGAATGGTTAGTTGGGGCCAACCCAGCCCATCGAATGGAAACACCGACATGGCTTTGCAGGATTCGAAATCCTTAACCCGGTTTTGTTATTCCACAAATTAGAGTAGTTTTAATTAAAATATGGCCTTAAAAAAATAAAATAAAAACCAATTTAAAATGATTTAATTTAAAAAATGTTGTCGTTTTTCGTCTTTTGCTTTTGTGAACCCTCTCTTTTAATTATGACCCTTGAATCTCTTAGATTTGTTTAATTCAATTGGTAGGTAAAAAAAAAAAATAGGATGCGCTTGCAGAGGTGAAAAAGGTGTGGAAAAATCATTGGCCCTTTCAAATGCATGGGACTTTTACAAGATCATTCATCTATTGCTAATTACAGTGCTATTGGAAGACGACTCCACTCCAGCATATAGCACAACTTACATGATGCACTACAGCGGGGGAGAAAATATTGTACCGCGCAACATGATGGAGTGGCCCTCTCACTAGGGTGGGACCAACACCAAGACGGTATGTGGATGTGGATCCCACCACTCAATGAGAGGGTTGTCACAGAAGACGACCCAACCCACGAATCGATCTAGACTCTGGAGGAGTAAGTAAGGGCATTAAACAACCAAAGGATGAGACGACCACTTTCCTGTAAACAATTCCTTTCAACATAACAGCAGGTACGTGCATTGGAATTCTGGCTATTTGTTTAGTCTGTCAAAAGTAAACGTAAAAAAAATGTTTGCCTAACAGTATAAAAGACCACGTAAACAATTACAGACAGCAACAAATAATTCATCTCGAAATCATTGAACACGGACGCTGCATATGAAACGACAAATTTCAAATGCCCGGTATCATTTGAACCTCACCCCAAATGAAAAGGAAGGAGAATACTTATATATGATATCTCCACTACCCGGGTAACACTAATCGCTCAAATGGAATAGATACCATTACCAACTTTCAAGAAAAATAAAAAAGCTCATGTCAATTCTCAAAGCAACAAAGCGTGAAACACAACGGATGTTGGCATACTTACAGCACCGCCATGTAAGATATTAGGAATCCCAACTGAGAGGAACTAAATACGAATGTCGGGCAAAAAAACACATAACATGTTAAACAAACACATCTATTAGACTATTTCATCTCCAATCCATGGCATCTGCCAACAGTTTGGCACATTGAACATAAATCAGGCAAGGGTTGATCAAAGAAATCTTCAAAATATATTAGCATCAACAGATGTGGGGATATAGAGGCTAGAGCGCATACCTCTTGCTTCATCCGAACAGCCAAAAACATCTATCCTGGCCTAGCAACAATCAAACAGAGGCGTAATCAGAGACTGAAAACAATAGAATGAGTGAAAATGCTTTTCAATACGACAGGTAAAACTTGGCATTCATCATGCAATCCAACCATAATCGAAGCTAAAACTGCATACAGCTGTGTAAGCATAGTTTTAGACATGTAACAGAACAACTATAACAAAATATACCTGCGGTTATTTCTGGATTTCAATGTAATACCACTATTACATGTATGCTTTCAAATGAATAACTATTTTGGAAGCTGGAACAAGAAGTTGAAACTATTACCGCATACATCATACATGAATGGAAAAGCCTCCCGACCCAATGCAAATAATTAGAGAGGAAAAAAGTTCAGAAAGCAGATATTTCATCCCTCAGAGTCTTCTAATAGAGAAATATGCAACTCCTTCATTCAATTTAATGGTGAGCAAATGTGAAGTTAGTGATTCTGTAAAACCAAAAGCGTAACCATAACATATTAAAGTACTTTGGCCACCATGGAAAAATGTTCTGTATTCTTGTTGAGCTAACACAATCCTACTCTGTACACATTGGAAAAATGATAAAAGAAAAAAAGTCAGGAATTAGTTTGTCCTTGTTGAGGATCCCTGAATGAAAAATAGGTCTTAATTTTTCAGCCCTAGAAATACATCCTTGATGGACGACAAGCCAACTTCTAAATGCAATCTACTATCATCTCCATACCAAGTTGATGCATGTAACTGAAATGGACACAGCAACCTGCTTTGAGCAAATTCATTAACTTAGATTTGTATCCAAAATGGTTGTCCCTGTTGCACTGACCAACGATAATTGCATTCCATGATGCCCGGATTGACAGGCAACAAACCCCATGCCTTTCTTCCATTGCTCCTTCTAAATTACAAAAGTGCTTGTTGGCAGTTTCATTAAGATCTAATTTGATTCTATCTGTGCGCCACCACTTCCAGCTTATGCTGTAAATTCATCCGGGAACAACAGACTTCTGCATGTACCGTACAGAAGTCATGCACAAACACAGGTCAATTAACCCAAGAGACCATCAAGATTTCACCGTGGGCTTTGCTGCCATGTGCCTCTCAATCAATTTATCCACAAAAGCACGGATCTGCAGTTTTTAAATCATTGAAAAGGAACTTGGTAAGAAGAAACTAATTTCACTGCATCATATATTATATTTCTTAATGAAAAAACTTCTGTTCATTTCCTGGCGCAAATTGATGTACAGTAAAAAAACTTTCAGGATAGCATGTACAAAAATTTCAAGTTGCCAACAATTTTGTATTCTCTTTGCTCGTCAGGTGAAGAAAGCCGTTGGAAAATATTTCAAAAATCAGCCAGGAAATCACTTTAATGACTCAAAAAAAAACTCATTAAAGTAAGCATGGAAAGACAAATATGACTTATTATAACAAAAAAAATGGAAGAATACCTTGTTCCTGCGCTTGAAATCAAGAAACTCATAAACAGCCATGGCTTTTTCTGAGTCTGTGGCGAGCTCCATGACCTGAAAATTGAATTCCCCAAAAATTTAAGACTGTAAATAAAAACAATAAGAATAGTTGCAAAACTGAGTTCAACAAAATTGCAACAAAATTTGACTTGAAACATTGGTATATTTTCTGTTTAGTATGACAGGAAGGAAAAATGAAAAATGACTAACTTTGGTAGCACTTTTCTTCATGATTGACTTGTATCCCTCTCTATCTATCTTTTTAGCTTTATAAAGAGGCATAAGCAATGATGCCACATAATCGACAACCGCCTGCTTAATATTATCTGCTCCTCGATGATGATTTTTTAACGACTCCTTGTTCACGGTAACTTGGGAAACAGAGCCCTCATTCAGAGGTCCTTCATGCTTCCAGCTGTGTTTTCTTGAAGTCGTATTTGAATCTTCCTCGTCATGTATATACGGTTCTGGATGGAAGAAATCAGGGTCTGCTGCAGCTGCTTGAGATTGCCACATCTCAATGGCATGATAATCCTTTATCCCAGCACTACCAGCTGTATCAACCCATGCTCTTGTATAAAGACTGCTGTCGACAGCAGCACTCTCTCCTGAGTGCTCTCTGAAATTTGTTTGACTACCAGTCTCATTTGGATTGCTCCGCTGGGAGAGGTTATCGATTGACATTCTTGAACTATCAATATTGACGCAAGCGGCAGAGAAATCAACAGACCAGTCCCTAACTTTGCAGTTTCTTGAGTCGATTTCTGATATACAATCTTGTCTACCCAAAACACCACCTGACCACTTCCTCCTAAAATCATACTCATCCATTTGAGGGTACTGCTCCCGTCGAGCAAACTTATGAAATGAGGGAATCTTGGGAAGCTGAAGCAGAGTACCACTCTTGGCTTCTGAAGATGCATATGCCTACAATGAACAACGATAACTAAATTCCTGTAGAACAAAATGGCACAAATAGGAAGGGGATAGGCAGTACTATATCACACTAAATTGAGTAGAGTCAAGGGAGACAAACCTCGGCAGCTGCAAGTGCTGCTGCACGGGCTGCTTCAGCAGCAGCAATGGCAGCTCGTTCTGCTTCTGTCACAGCAACGTCATTCTCCTTTAGCTCAGAATGTGGTCTGCCAGTTGAACCTCTAAGCCTTGACGAATTAATCTCCGATTTTGAGGAATTTTCTGTTTCACCCTTAATGGTTTTGCCATTCACTTTCTTACCATTTGCATTCAAAGGCAAATGGCTTGCGGTCGATGCTGAATCCTGTAAGCTTCCTTTGTGCTCTGAACCACCATGAAATGTGTGTAGAGGCGGCTTACCAGAAGATGGATCTCTAATTGGTTTTCTCCTCAATGCATCTGCAGCAGTTGCTTGCCTTGACAACTTCAACGCACCATTGGAAGCTTTTTCCTTGCGGAAAACTTCAAGCCACACGTTAACCAGCTGACTTGCTATGGCACGTATATCACGGCTTGTATGTACACAAACTTTTTCTCGTACAGTTTTCCCAATGCCTGCACCAACAAACAAGAGATTAACTAATTTTGAAGAAATACATTCTAATGATTATGATACCCATTAATGCACATAGGAAAGCCAGTAGATAAAGATCGAGAAATAAAGAGACAATACCAGACAAGCGCACAGCCAGTAGGTCTGTTGAAACAAGCACAAGGAGCCGAACACAATGCCGCAAGAGTTGAGTCCCAGCCTTCCCCATCGAGTCCTGTTATAGCAAGGAAATTTATACCCTCAGAAAAACAAAATCTCCAAGAAAGCAAACATTGGATGCTATCAACAACAAAATATGTGTGAGTCAACATATTGTGAATTCATATTTGATTGAATGATGATAAATATGGATGCAGAATTACCAGTATCCACGAGTTGAGAGTAGTCAGCCCTTCTTTGGTGCCAGCAAAGGACTTCAAGGTTTCAACAGGAAGACTCAATAACTCTTTGGCCAGATGTAACCTTCCTTTGGTAGTCTTTGCATTAAAGAACATGTCCTGGAGTAGGGCCTCCTTGTTCGTGTAAAGGACATCTGAAAGTTCAACCGCATCAAGTCTCCTTGTTATGTCTCTAACTTCAGCCCTTTCAGAATCTGATTGTCTCTGAATACCTGCAATGGCGTCTGCTTCTGCTGTGTAATCATTTCCAGTAGTCAGTATGTCAATTATACGCACTGCCTCCCGGAGGCCACTCATCATCGCACCACCAACAGTGTCGGGATGCTCCTTGCAGGTAGCTTCACCAGCAAAAAATAGGCAGTTCTCAACAGGTCTCCCTAGTATATCATAATCTTCCCCCGAAGCTCCAACAGCAACATATGAGTAGGCACCGTAGCTGAAAGGATCCTTACCCCAATCTGTCACAACTGATGCAACAGGATCAGGTACTGAAGCCTCTCCAAACAATTTACGAAGAACCACTATTGCATGGTTAACATGTTCAGAAGAGCTCATATTTTGCCCATCTATAGCTGCCTTACCAACCACTAAGGCTATGAGAACAGGAGCCCCGACGGTTTTCTTGACATTCCAGAACATAAAGCACTGGCCCCTCAGTTCTGTTTCCTCAGCAGTTGCTCCAAAGTAATCCACAGAATCATCCCAAAAGACATCTGGAAATTCCAAAACTACCTTATTAAGAACTCCAAACCCAAGCCGCAGAATGGAAGAATGTTTCCAGTGGGGCAATGGTGGGGAAAATTTGATGGTTTCTGCTTTTAAGCACCCAAGAGGCACTGTAATCAAAATTGCATCTCCTGAAAAATCGCTGCCATTAGATGTGGAAACCTTGACTTTGTTACACCGGTTAGTGTTCAATTCAGTGTCTTTGGTGCCATATGAAATATCAGTGACTACATGATTCAAGTGAATTTGAAGTCCTTCTCCAAGAGACTCAACAACAGTGCTGTAACCACCTTTAATCATGCAGTGAGCTCCTCCAAAGCCACCATAAACATCATCCTGGTTCCAGTTGGGGAGAGATACCTCCTTCAGCGGAGCAGCACAACCATATTCCAAATTGGCAAAATGCCAATCCATGACCCTCCTCTCAAGAGGGCTCAAAAGCTCTAGCTTTTGACAACTTTCCTCAGCTCTATCAATAATTTTTTTGGCATCAATGAAACCATCCATTAAACCATACAGTTCTTTTTCTTCAACACTGGTCGCTGTTTTTGCCATACGACGCCTCTTGAGGGCATGTTCCAAACCTTTCTCGAGAGACATTCTTGTCTGTTCTCCCTCCTGTGCAACAAGCAATACCATGTCATCAAGAAGGCTGTTGAACTCTGCTTCCAATGCTTCATCCAGATCTGCAGGAACCTTTTCACCTGTTGCAATGTCATAAAGAGGGCAATCACTGTTTAAGACAGTCAACTCAAGGCCCAGCTGTGCACAAACCAAAGAGGAGGGGTCTGGTCGTCTTTCAGTCGCCCAATCAGCCTCAACACCAGTTATAATGCTAGCACCAAGATCCACAGGAACTGATAGAGATGACCTGTCTGTATAAACACGGCCCCCTATCCTACTCCTAGCTTCCAATATAGTGACTGAAAAGCCCTGACGTTGCAAGTGGCGTGCAGCAGTTAATCCAGCAGGACCAGCACCTATGACAATGATCTTCTTTTTCACTTCCACACAGCATTGCGGATTATTATTCCTCACTGCATGATCTTGTGATGCACACTGAGTACTGTGTGATACATTCTTTAACTCTGGAGTTTCAAGAGGGATGCCTCCATCACCCAATGTCTCACTAACTGGATCACTACTTGAAACATCCATATTGTCCAATTTACTTTGTAACCTTGCATCAACACTGGTGTTTTCCGGGTGATCAGCCTCACACTCAGCATGGTTTTTTGTATTGGACAATTCCAATGCCGCTGTGGTTACAAGCCCGTTGTCTTTTGTGACTTCCTGAGTCAAGTTGTCACTTTTAATTATGACACCACTCTTCGCATCAATTTTAGTTTTAGAACTCTTAACCTGGCCTGTGATAAAGGAAACTCCATCCTCTGAATCAGCAACTGAAACCCCAAAAATTTCCTCAAAATTTTTTTCTCTCAGAATTTTATAGTCATGCTTGGGACCAGATTCTGCTTTATCCTTCTCACGAGCAATTCCAATATTTATATAGCCCTGTCCAAGTTTTCATACATTGGAAAGATGAGACAAACTAATAATGCAATCCTCCCCTAGGAAATGCAAGAATGAAAACACACTAGGAAAAGAAGAAGAAGATTGATCAATATTGAACTGGCACATATAAAAATCCATAAAAGGCTTTATAGACTTACACTGAGATCGAGGAATGTATAAATATCCCTAATTAGGGAAGCACGAGGTGGTTCATCCGCACAAGCAGTATATGTTACCCCACAGTCAGCGAGAGGCAAAATTCGACTAACATCTTTATTCCACAGAGCAAGGATCTGATTCCTGTATTGCACCAAGCAGTGATTAACTAAACAAGGTAGAGCTTATCAGGCAAAACAATTAAACCAGAAGAAAAAACATTTGAACTACATTGAAAAATTGATATAATATTTTCATTCAAAAGAAGAGAAGACCACACCTCCAAACTTGGACACAACCACTTAAAGAAGAGAAAAAAAAATCTAAACCAAAATGCCAATAATACAAACATAAATATACCATCAATTTTATTAATGTCAACTTAAGTAAAGCGGCATCAAAATTTAAAAAGAAAACTCGACCCTCCAAACAGAACTTAGCATTAGTAGGATGCGAAAGAAAACCAAAACATTTGAATAATTAGTAAGAATTGTCAAGTAAAATGGATAAAGTAACAGCTATAATTAGTATCAAGTACAAATTTCTGAAAGATTGTGATTTGCACAAGAAACCCCTATCATATGCAGGTTTCAGAATTAACTACTAACCTGCATCCCAAATAGTCCTGAACCCCACCTCTGCGCTTCAAGATCTCCTTGAATTTGATCTTCTCAACAGGACCAACTGCATGAGCTTTAAGACCAGCAGACACTGCTGCAGCCTCACCACTTTCAGATTCTGTACCAATACTTGAAGAGGAATCAAACTTCACTCTCAAATTGTCACTATCCAAACTTTGATCATTTATCAATACCTCCCAATCAGCATCCCCCTCATAAGCCATGTCTCCATGCCTACGCTTTCTAACAATGCGCCCCACACGCTGGACAGCTGATAGCTTAGTGTTTTTGTTTTCAACATCTGGTAGAGATGCTGTGTCTTCTGGGAAACTCTCATTTTCATCAGCCTCTTCACTAGTGATAAGATGATCATGATTTAGAACATCATTTTCCTCACGCAAAGGACCAGAAGCAAGGCCAGGATTCTTAGTGTAAGAAATTAGACCATTACAATTACCTCCCATAGAGCAGTTCTTCAATCCATCCTCAAAAGTTTGCATTTGCTGCGTCAAATGTTTTTTGTCTCCATCATTAACTTCATCTGAGTTGCATGGTCCCTCTTGAAAATTTGAACCAGAAGGATCCACTATGGCTTCATTGTTAATCAATTTGGAATCAAATCCTGAATGTGAGTAGAGAGGAACTCGATCTTCTGAAACGACTTTGTAGGGCCTTTTATGCTTTTTATCATCGAATGTCTCTTGATTTTCCCTGTGACGGTTAGAGGCTCTGTCATCAAAACTTTGACCTTCATCTTCCTTACACTGATCAGAGGAATCCAATGGATTTGAACAAGCCAAAGGCATGGTGTTCAACCCATCCTCCAAAACCTTAGAACCACTCTTCTCTTTAGGACTTGAAGAGGCACGAGAATTCATAATCAAACCAGATTGTGACTTCCGGGAAAATGCTGATAATGAATCTTCCGGATGATGATCCAAAAGGCAATTAGAACCTTCACCAAATCCCAGAGACCCTGAAATCTTGGGTCTCTTTCCCTTTCCATTAAGCTTGTTTTCTACCTCTATATTGATAGTTACATCAGATCCATCATCACCCATAACAGGATCTTTCTCTAAAACCCTTGACACCGATTTTCCATCCAAACCCCCGTCGTCCACGTACCCATTAGAGGACCGATCCACAGACTGTACATCATCCAAAGCAAAACTCCTACCCCTCATAGTTCCAGTCCCATAATCTTTCTTGGGACCCTTCAACTTCTTCCTCAAACTTGCCAAAGTATCATCCAGGCCCCCCAAATCCTCTTCTTCATCGTCAACCATCTTGCCCCTTTCGCCGCCACCCTTAACCTTCTTAAGGTTTCTCTGCCTCTTCGACTTCAAAAGTGACCCAATTGGCTCATCATCCTCAGAATCAACCATATTCGCCTTGACAAACTTCGATCTTATCTTAAGGCCGGACTTCTTCTCCTCCCCATCCATTTTGTCAACCATATCTTTTTACGAAAACGGAGTCTTTCATAACCCTAATCCAACTTCAGTGCCCAAATCAGGGAAACCAATCATCACCTTCCACTTCTCTATTGTCAAAAAATTAAAGCTCATGATTCACATGCACCCCGCCCTTGAGCAATTCAGCTACAATCATCATAATTTGAAAACACACCTAGAAATCCGAACACCCATCAAATCGCAGACAATCACAAACATTCACAATTCTAAAACTTGCAAAATTCAAATCCTCGATAAGCTTCTGCCAACGAGTAAGCTCCTCTCCGCCCTCTGCCAATGGCCTCCCTCTACTCTTAAGTCCTCAATCGAGAAATTCTACCATTGAAAATACAGAAAGAAAAAAGAAAAAAAAGGAATTAAAAAAAATATAAAATCTACCTAGGGTTTTTCATCCAGTTACTAAGCCCTAATGAGAGGATAAGAGCGGGGTGGCGGAGGTCAGACCTGTGTGCGGAGGAGCTCTACCGCGGTGGCGTTAATGGATTCGTCGAAGGGAGTGAAGTGCGCACGTTAGCGTCGCGTAGGAAAATTGGGAAGGTCTGCTGTATAAAGTGCGCCGCGGGAGAAATTAAACGGGGTGGAAATAAAAAGAAAAGGAAAATAAAAATGGGAACGTATTGGGGAGGGATTTTTTGCCCGACAAGATTTGTACGAGAGAAATGAGAGTGTCTGTGGGAGCAGACACCTACGGATGGCACCACTTAATTATGATTCTTTTCTAAATAATTATTATTTAGTAATCTAATTGCCATTTTGGAAGGGAAAAACACACCATACAAGTATCTTTTATAGTTTAATAACGTTAACATCAATTGTCTATTTGTGAGTATTTGGTAATGTGAGAGCACATGAAATCCTTAAATATGTTAGATTAACACATAAATAATCTAACTCTAATTAAAACATTAGGTCCTGCTACGTGAATAACTTAGTTTTAATATAATATCACAACGAGATCATCCAACTCAAAATTAATTGTTGATTCATGAGCTAAGAGATTCAAAATCTGTTAAACGCTCATGTTGGGCTCTCATGTTTTGATACGTGATGCTCCCTCAATAGTACAAAATACTTCATCAGAATTCAAGTATTTCATAACATGCATTTTTATACTGCCAAACTTTTAATTGATATTAGTCGTGTATTTCTAGCCTTCTAAAAGATATATTTTCATATAAATGTTGAGGTGAATTCATATACCATTTAAAAGATTGGGTTAGATTCTTGATTGTGAAAATGAATTTATATATGTCATGACGTCGATGGCGAGAGCAACTAATCTCTTTCTAAATTTTTGTTAGAAAAAAGAATTTATATTCTCTTGCTTAAATTGGAAAATGAAAAGATTCTATAACTTCACAAGTCAATGCACCTAATAAGTGATTACAGAATTGTTAACCCAAAAAACAAAAGTGGTTACAAAACTATCTAAATACCCAGTAAAGAATCGACTACGTGAGCAGTAGCCCCTAAACTATTTATTTTCTTACATGTTATATAAGGGGTCGTATTTCATCAAAATTTTAATTGAATTCATAAAAATTCACTGGTATTCAATAAAAATTTTAAAGGAGTTCAAAACTTCGCATAAATTTGGATATATTTATTTCGACATTATAAGTAGGAAAGTGTTATTAACATTTCAAAAATTTTATTCTACACTCCTTATATTTTTTTTCTAACATAGAAAATTTGAAGTGTAGAATGAAACTTTTAAAATTCTAATAACGTAACCTATAAAATTAGGAGGGGACACAAATCGGACCAGTCGGATGCTCTCATGGGGAACGGGACGGCCCATCTTCTAATAATAGTAAAAAGCCCACAAACAGCAAGCTATGATTTGTCGTTCATACTACATAGAATTCCAACTTCTGGTGCGTTCCTCTTCTTCCTTCGGTAGAACGGAGCACGACTGGCGCTGCCCAACCCAAGTTTACAGGTATGCTTATATATTGGGATAATTTCAAATTTATGAAGGTGTTTAATTTGGTTTGAAAATTCAATTGAATTGGTGTTTGAAAATTCATGGTCCTCGTTTTCACTCCTCAGCAGTCAGCTTCTCCACCGAGCGCCGGACTTGGGAAAGCAGTTCCGATGAGCAGCAAGCAGAGACGGCCGCCGGACCCAGTGGCGGTTCTGAGGGGCCACCGTGCCTCCGTCATGGACCTCTCTTTTCATCCTTCCCAACCACTCCTGTTCACCGGGTACGATTCAGTACACTTATGCAACCTACCCTTTTGTTATCATTTCTCAAAAATTAAAAATTTGGTGCCTTTTTTTTGTTCTAGTTCATCGGATGGCGAACTGAGGATTTGGGATACTATCCAGCATCGGACTGTATCATCAGCTGGGTAATTTTAATACCAATTTTTCGTTTTATTTTTATGATTATAAAGTTCATATCTTTTTTTGTTTTTGGAATGAAAAGTAAAAATTTATTTGCAACTTTTCAGGGTGCATAATGCAGCACATGGTATTGCTTCTGTTGCTTGTACTGCCAACAGAGTTATCAGGTGATTTTCTTTTCATTTTTTCTACTTTTGTTTATTTATTGGCTACACACACACACACACACACACACACACACTTTCTGTATTAGTAGTAGAATTGAATTTGAAAATGTTGGTGCAGCCAGGGCAGGGATGGGACGGTTAAATGTTGGGATATTGAAGGTGGAGGTCTGCACAGGTTCTTAGCTAATTCCCATAATTGTAGCCTATAGTTATTCGGTTTCCATTGTACACTGCTTCATTTGTTATTTTGGATCATGGCATGTGCCTCATTACTTTTGAACCTTGATATCGCCTTGGTAGGACTCCGTCTGTTACAATCAAGACAAACTCTTACCACTTTTGTAAACTTTCCTTGGTGAAGAGGCCTCAATCTTGTTCTACACAAGTGGATGGGGTTAAGTGTCATGATGGAGAGGACAGAAGGGTTAGGGGGACCACTGATGAAGATACTCTAGATGATAGTAGAGACAATGTTGAAGGGAATCTGCCTGAGCATCCCAGCGCCTTTGAAGGTTTATTTAAACTTGAAACTGATATTCCGGTCAGGAGTGTTTTCTGTGCACCTTAGCTACTTTCTCGCAGGAGATGAAGGCTTAGACTTTAGATATATCTGTTAGTACTGTATTTTCAATTTGTTTTCTCTTTATTGCTCTGTGATAGTTGAGAAACAAGAATGTTGATAGACGTTTTTTTAAAACAGAAAATACTCAAGATGAATTATCTAAATATGTCGCTGTAGCAGGGGAGCAAACTTCTGAGGTTTGTATCTAACCTTGAGTATGTCTAGTTTGATTTTCATTTTTGAAGCCCCGATTACTCACTACCTTCATGTGGTTTGCAAAGGTTGAGATTTGGGATCTTAATACTGCAGAAAGGTTTGCACAGCTTCCTCAAAGCTGCTTTGGTGGTTCCCCGGGTATTTCTTCCAAGGAGAGAGGTCCATTTCTAATTCTTTCAACATTTTGCTTACTAGTTTCCGGGTTTGATTGTGTTTCAGTTTATACCAGATGGTTTTGGGCCATCACTTTTCTGTTCGTCCTTCCTTGTTGGTTTCATCTACCTTTGACATATAGCCTTTGGTTCTTGGCAGGAATGTGCATGGCTATTCAAGCATTCTCACCATCTGAATCACAGGGATTCCTAAATGTCTTGGTTGGGTATATTCTTTTCACTTCTCATTTTCTATGTTTTATGAAGCCGAGTACCTGATCAAAATTTTGATAGAAATGTAGCTCATCCGTGTGTCTGTGGTTTTAATGATGTTTGACTTCATAATCGTCATCTACTCGTAGTAGAATCTCTTTTGTTTGTTCTGTGTGTCTGTTGTCAGACTCGATGAAGATCGCTCAAATTTGTTTTTCCTCATCTTCTTTCAAACCACTGTGCTTTTTCCTCATCTTCTTTCGAACCAATGTGCTTATGAAGGGTTGGTTAGAAATCATATGTCATGAGTTTCTTGACTAGTTGTCTGTAGGAATCTTAAAGCTCTTCAGGGTGTATGTAGTTCATTCGGTCAGAAGCATTTGATAACCCGGTTTGTCAGTTGTTGATGCACAATGTAAAAATGAGATGTGTGTATCATACATGAGTTATCCTTCCCTTTCTAACTTAGGGGGTACTGAATCGAGATGTGTATATAACAGGTCTTAAAGGTTGTTTATACAATGTGAGCGTGCACCCATATTGATTTTTGATTTTGTTTCTTTGTTCTACATGGTACAGTTATGAGGATGGTTCCATGCTTTGGTGGGATATTAGAAATCCGGGGGTTCCAATGACCTCTGTCAGGTTTCATTCAGAACCAGGTGAGAGACCTAGAATCCAAAGAACCCCATGCATTTATATTACTCTTTCTCATTTTGCCTTTTGAAATAAGCCGTGTTCTTCATGCATCTTTATCTGCAGTTCTAAGTCTATGCGTGGATGGGTCATGCAATGGTGGTATCTCAGGAGCTGCGGATGAGAAAGTTGTGCTGTATGGTTTGGATCCTGCAATGGTAACTTAGTCATGTCTGTAAGTTTGTAGGACTAGATGTTTTACAGCTCCTACCTCTGAACCTTAGAGTTGTTTCCCAGGTGTTTATCAATGAAAATGTTACCTTTTCATAAAAAAATCTTTAACTGCGGTCTGTATGTTCATGTAAACATGAGAGTATTGTTCACCATATTATTGTGAGGTTTTTAATACATAATTAATTGCAGTTAATGTGTAACCTGAAAGATTTCCAATATACAAAGAATTGGCTGTGAAAGTAGCTGAAGGCAACCAAGTCAAATATTCATGCTCTGATTTTGTGCCTGTTGCTTGTTTACTCTAATTGAAATTCAAGTCATACTTCATCTCTTTTGCCTTAATGTTGTGCTGTCCAACCCAGGGTACGTGTGTGATCAAGAAAGAAATTATTTTGGAACGACCTGGAATTTCAAGCACTTCCATTCGACCTGATGGTAAAATTTTTGCAACCGCTGGCTGGGACCACAGGTTTGGGAACAGAACTTTCATTTTGAGATTTGAAGTACATCTTGTAATTCATTCATAGCGGATCTGCATTCTTACGTCTTTTCTCCTTGCCCCTTATTCATTTTACATCTTGATGCCAGAGTGAGGGTATATAACTATCGTAAAGGAAATGCTTTGGCGATATTGAAGTATCACCATGCAACGGTATGATGTTCCTAGTAACACAAGAAATTAGATAGACAAAGATTCTCATTTTCGAGATTTTGCAGTTATTTCTCTAATTCGAGCTCTGGTGTTACCAAAAAAGGAAATATTGTCGATTACTTGGTCTGTTTGGTCACCTGTTTTGTTTCTCTGAAACCACCACTCCATCTGGCTTGGGTGTTTTTCTCACTAGCGAGGGCCTGATTATGCGGATTTTTCTTTTATTGCAGTGTAATGCCGTTTCTTATTCAGCCGATTGTAAGCTAATGGCATCTGCTTCAGAAGACACAACGGTGGCTTTATGGGAACTCTATCCTCCTCGAACTTAAAACGATACGGTCTGTATTGTACTATGGTCATGGGGTAAAATTCCCTCTAATTTAACAGAAAATCATTAGTAATCAGTATTGTTACAAATGTGTTCTTTCTGCTTGTGATGTTTTCGTTTGCTTCCCTTGGGTACCTTATTTAAGTTAAATTTTGGACTTCTTTATCACTTTAGGTGGCTGCTCCCGTCGTTCAATTTATTCTGAACAGATTTAGCGTCCGACATGAGTCGTCCATTCCAACTTGATGGCCTCATACTGTCTGAGCTTGTGCAATCTGAACAATGTGGTGTCTCTTTTTAGGATACGAAAACAACGTGGTTCGAGGTCCCTAACGAGTGAGTCTTCTACAAGGCACCCGAAAATTTAAGACCAACCTCATTTCCTTCCGCTCGAAGCATGACCTGCATCCCATGAGCCATTCATTAAGCAGCCTGGCTGGTTTAGTTGCTTATTAGTGACATCCTACACGAACAGATGATTTGCCTAAAAAAACTCATTCCACTCAGGTTTTGGCAAGAAAATTGCGTATTGGAGTGATGTTAAATTGTGCTAATTAAGTGATACCTAATTAGATGACATGTTTTGAAGAAGATAGTAAATATGGTTAAATTGGAGAAGATATAATGTAGATAACGGATTAAACTCTTACGAGATATAAAACTGACATGTTTGCGTTCGTCATGTCAATGTTAATATTAGAAAGTGTCATTTTACATGTTTAATTAAATAGTATCATTACTTGATTTTACAATAAACAATACGAATTAACACTTGACTTTTACTTTTATGCAACAACAACATCTAAGTCTTATCTCACTAAATGGAGTTGGTTGTATAAAATCTACAATGTTCCTACGCTCGATTTTGCAGCCAAGTCATCCGTTAGGTTGAATTTTAGTTATATAATCATGAAAAATTATTTTATAACATTGAAACAATATGTACAGTAGTAAGTTGAGATGTGAGAGGATTGAAGGTCTATGGTCGTCATGGTTACCATGCAATGCTGAGAAATATATAAGTTTAATGATCATGCATGCCGCAAACCTTTTAGGGTTTTTTCTGGTCCTCTATCTTTCACCAGAAAAATATTTCTAATTGCATTATATATTTTTGGCCCCTCCAACAGCAATGGTTTGGTTTGGTTTTGGTCTCCTGCTGGTAAAGCAAAATGCATGGGTGGTTATGGCATCTGGTGCTTATAGGTTCATGAATATATATGAAAGATTTGACTCGCATATTTTGGTGGTTAGCAAGCAGCACGGATGGCTGCTAAACATTCCTTTTGCAGGTTCATGAATTAAGAGCTTAATTTAATTTGAATGGATAATCTGCGTTTAATTAAATTGTTTGGTTGATGTACTCATTTCATTAATTATTGGAACTTTAACGAAAAACTTCGGTACTGTTCACATTAACGAAAAATTATTTTTTTACACTAAAAAGTCAATCTTGATACCATTCACTCTACCATTTATTTTGTTCTTATCGTTAAAACTCAAAGTTTTCAAGTCATTTTCATTAATTTTCCTTTAATTATATGTTAGGGCTCATTTCAGTATGTTTAAATAAAAACTAATTAAGCACTTAACTTAATATTCATGAGTGATTCAAAAGTGTTTTTACGAGGCAAAACCGTTAAAGTTAGTACTAGAATTCAAGTGTTTTTACAATTCATTAGCACTTTAAGTTTTTCTGTAAGTATCATAATCATTAGAAGTTTTCAGAAACCGGTTTTAATTAGCTCTTCTCTGTAAGCAACTCCTAAACATATTTTTAGCACTTTCGAAAACTACAAACACAAAGAAGAAGATATGATTGGCAAACAACAAAAATAGGTAAATGTTGACCAAAAGGACGAGTGAATGTGAGGAAGCTTTAACTAATTAAGGAATGTCAACGATATATAAAATACATATACGAATACGCATGGTGTATATGTAGAATAACAAGACGTGCTGTATTTTTCTATTTTGCACTGCCCGACCATTTGATAACAAATATAGAAAAATACATTATAAATTTAGTTGAAAAATGCATCTGTCTAAACCAAACCGTATCAAAGACATTCTGTTTGAGCCCCATCAACCGTATACATAATTATCCAAGTACACGAAAGAATATCTCATTTAATAACAAATATAAAAAAGAGATCATGACTTGACTTGTTCACATGTTTCTAACTGAATTAATCTATTCTAACACAAAATTTGAAAACCATGCAATCATATGTATCAAACAAATCAACGGTTATAATGTTAACAAGTAATACTCTCATAATCTATCTTCAGTTTTAGACAGAGAATCCCGTATCGATAATTTGAGAAACCAAATTACAACTTGTAATACATGGTACAATACCTAATTACATTGAAACATCTAGGATAGAACCTCGAAGTTTTCATGCATGGTTGGGGAGCTAGGTTTGACCAAAATAGGGCGTTAGATTAACGCAATGTAACATATAGATGTCAACCAAGTCCTGTTAACTACCTCAACCATAGATGAATTGGAACCTTGCAATATAATTATGTTGAAAGATTTTACAATTAATATAGGCCAAATGTCAAGAAACTTAAAAGAAATGCAATGGATATAACCAAATGATTTATATCTACTATAATTATATACGCGTTGATTAATTTCGTTCCTCTATGCAGTAAAATTGGGCAGGGATTATGACCAATCTGTACAATCGGAAAGTTATAATTTAAGTATCAAATTTGTTATTATCGTGAGAGTCGAATTTAATTAAGGTATCTTACTTATTCATAAATAAGATATATTGTATTAAATTATAATGCTAATGACACATGCCAAATTACCACTCAATATAGTGCTAATTAATGAAATATAAACTTGTTGATTAGAGGAGTACTCCCATATTTATTAGTTAGTTCCATGCACGATCAATAGGCCGCATCCAATTCACTAACAATTTTCATGAAAATAATCTAATGTCGTTCAGGATACATATAAAATATAAATATGTATATTCATTTAGTTATTTAATTAGGGCGAAATTAACATGTGGGTAGCTCGAAACCCTAGTATTTAAGGAGGGCCAGGTCGAGACTTGAGACAGACAGAACCACAGAGCTAGCTAATTAAGCACGGCTAAAGCACAAATTAAGCAAGCAAAATCCAAAAAGGAAAGAAAGAATGAAGCCAATTGCTAGTCTCTTTCTTTCATTTCTGTTGTTAATAATATTTCATGGGTTCTCTCGGACAACCCACGCTGCCGGTGGCAATTGGCAACTGTTGGCAACTATTGGTGTTTCCGCCATGCACATGCAACTCTTCAAAAATGACCGCATTGTCCTGTTCGACCGCACCGACTTCGGCAAATCCAACTTGTCCTTGCCCAACGGTAATTGCGTCAACAACGACTGCACCGCCCACTCTGCCGAGTTCGTCGTCCAGACAAAAGCCTTCCGCCCCCTCACGGTCTTATCTGACGTCTGGTGCTCCTCCGGCTCCATGGCCCCCAACGGAAACTTAATCCAAAGTGGAGGCTTCAATAGCGGAGAACGCCGCGTTAGAGTTTTCCAGCCTTGCACGGGTTGTGATTGGACGGAGATTGTAGACGGATTGGCCGTTCGCCGGTGGTACGCCACCAATCACGTTCTGCCCGATGGACGCCAGATTATCATTGGCGGCACGAAGCAGTTCAACTACGAGTTTTATCCCAAGACCGAGTCTACAAGCAATGCCTACAGCTTGCCGTTCCTTTCGCAGACCAATGACCCCGGCGAAGAAAACAATCTCTACCCTTTTGTTTTTCTCAACCCTGATGGCAACTTATTTATTTTCGCCAACAATCGAGCTATTTTGTTGGATTACATGAAGAACGTCGTGGTTAAAACCTATCCACAAATACCGGGTGGTGACCCGAGGTGTTACCCTAGCTCGGGTTCAGCCGTGTTGCTCCCGTTAAAAAACTTGACGGCTCCATCTGTTGAGGCTGAGGTTTTGGTTTGCGGTGGAGCTCCAAAAGGGTCTTTTGTCCAGGCAAATAAGGGTATTTTTGTGGAAGCTCTAAACACGTGCGCTCGGATCAAAATAACGGACCCTAATCCACAGTGGATTGTTGAAACCATGCCCCAAGCCAGAGTCATGGGTGACATGATATTGCTTCCAGACAGCACTGTTTTACTCATCAATGGTGCATCGTCTGGGGTAGCGGGATGGGAAATCGGGCGTAATCCAGTTCTCAATCCAGTTGTGTACCGACCTGATAATGCAGTCGGGTCACGCTTCGAACAGCAAAACCCCACCACCATACCGCGAATGTATCATTCCTCAGCTTTATTAGTACGCTGATGGTAGAGTGGTCGTTGGAGGTAGTAACCCCCATGATAAATACCAGTTTGGCAGTAACGTGCTTTTCCCAACAGAATTCAGATTGGAGGCATTTAGCCCTGAGTATCTTGACGCTAAGTACGCAGATTTGCGTCCTACAATCCTCACACCCCTAAACCAAGCCAAACTTCATTACGGAATAAAATTGACCATTCAGTTCTCGCTTACGGGCACGCTAGCAATGAATTCAGTGTCCGTGACAATGGTGGCGCCGCCTTTTAGCACACATTCATTCTCCATGAATCAAAGGCTGCTGGTTCTTGGTGCAGAGAACATACAACAGGTAGGGCCAACAACGTATCAAGCTCAAGTGACAACGCCGCCTTCAGGAAATCTTGCGCCTTCCGGATATTACATTTTGTATGTGGTTCATCAACAAATTCCAAGCGAGGGCATCTTTGTTCAAATTTACTGAGAAACGTGGAGGCACATTTTACAGTGCGTAGAGTTGCTTCCTCCGCTTCGGTTTTATTTCATTTCATTTCCAAAAAGAGAAACATGATTGATTATCAGGTTGAAAAAAAAAAAAAAATCTTCATGTACCCAGAGATCAAGCTAGCTAAGAGGCTAACTTGTCACATGTAATTTCGATCATAATTTGCAAGTTGTACTTTCAATTTTCTTTCGTATTTTGTCTTCTTTATTTTTTCTTCCGGAATTGTAAAGTTTTACATGTGAACTGATGAATAAAATTGAACTTTTGACACTAAAGTGTACGCTGGCATCACTTGCAAAAATTAAGAAAGTCTTCAAATCTTCATTCTTACACAGCTGCACAATTCTAACGAAAATTCAATCAACTTCCACATGTTTGTCTTGCAAAACTGGAATGTTTGGCTTGATATAAAATTGAAATTTGAGCACAATATCCTCAGCCTCTTAGCATTCTCCTCCAATTGGCCTTGTGTCAAAACTTCTCCAAGAAGTCAATTTATCATTTAAAACCTCCTAAGTGAGCATATTAGCTGCAATTGAAAAAAAATAATAATAATAAGGCTTTTTTGAAACTAACTCCTTAACAAAACTCTTATAATTGTCATCAAGAAATAATGCACTTATCAGGCAATAGCTAGTGCATATTCATATATTACTTGCACACTTTTTGGTATTTGCAAGTTGTACTTTCAATTTTCTTTTGTATTTTTTTTTCTGTTGTATAGTTTGTATCATTACATGATAACTTTGATAATAGTTTGAAAATTTGTAGCACTAGATGTTTTACAACTCCCGCCTCTGGACA